ATTCCGAGCACCAAAAGTTCAACACGGACCCGCCGCCCGCCAAGATGTAGCCTGGCCCGGCGATATCCGAGCCACACGTCTTCGGAGCCACAGGTCTTCGGAGCCACACGTCCTCATGCCAGAGCCACACGTCTTCATGTCAGACAACCCGGCGTCCATCGGAACCACACGTCTTCATGTCAGACCAATCAGACTCCTTGTACATATCTTGGGAGCCGTGCTCCTCTATAGAACACAAAATATATCATGATGCATGCCCGTTCGGCCCGTTGGGCGCGTGAGAATCATGGGGCCGCGCAAACTCGTCAGGGTCACCAACCCCCTCCTCCTCCTCCTGCTGCTGCTGCTGCTCTGCCGCGCCCGGCGTCGTGCCAGACAGGAGATCCATGGGCTGTAAGAGAAAGCCCACCTCCTCCTCGACCTCGGCATCGTCCGCCTCGTCGGCTTCCTCGCCCTCGTCGTCGTCCTCGTCCTCGTCGTCGTCGTCCTCGCCCCACTCGCCGACGACATAGTCCTCATCCCACTCCGAGTCGCTGTCGCCGAGAAACCCGTCGACGAGCCCGATAAAGTCCTCGGCGAGGATCGTCGTCTCTTCCTGCCCGTCGGCGTCGATGCGCGGGTCGGCCATCTTCCAAAACGCCGTCGGTCCCACGGGCCCGTGCTCGTCATAGTTGGCGTCGAACCAGTGGCCCACGACGCCGCCCGCCGCCCGCACGCCGCCCACCTGCACGCTCTCGCTGCGCCACCGCTCGTGGCCGTTGAAGACGCTGAACGACGTCCAGCGGACCTCGCCCTCGCGCGTCAGACGGACCGTGCCTTTGACTGATCAGCATTAGGGGGGTGGGTCGGGGAGGAGGAAACAGTCATGGGTACACGGGACAGAAAGAACACGCACCTCGGATGTCCGAGTCGGCATTGTCATCCCACGAGTCGTCCACCGCCCTCGACGTGCCCTCAAACCGCACAACCGGCAGCGCCTGTCCGTCGGCCTCGCCCGGCGGCTCGATGCCGACGACGCGAATCTTGACAATGATGAGGCGCGTCGCCTCCTCGACCTCGAGCGGCGCCCGCGGCTCCCCCGGCGCCAGTGCCGTCTCGGGCTCGGCAGGGAAGTTGTAGGCGAAAAAGTCATTGTAGTCGATGAAGCAGACGACGCGCAGCCACGTGCCGCCGACACCGTAGGGGTCCTCGAGCCCGGCGCTGCTGGTGCTGCTGCTACGTGGCATCTTGGTCGCGCTCGGCGACGGCAGGGACAGCGGCGGCGGCGGCGCCGCCTTGCGCCCAGGCCCGCCGAGCCAGCTGCCGGGCCAGCTGCCGGCAAAGGGTATGTCCCAGCTGCCCCAGATGCCGCCGCCGGCCGGGCCTGGGCGCATGTTGGCGCCGAGAACGACCTTGACGGCCTCGAGGCGCTCCCAGTCGAAGCGGCCG